AAAAAAAAATACATTTAAAAAAATAATAATAATAAAAACACAACAACAGTTGTAACAGTTATTAGCCAGGTTATTATACCTATAAAATCCACTAACACAAATAATAAAATAAAGACTTGAGATGTCCACATGTTGTTTCTCTCTATTATTGTAACGTCATTAACTTAAAGCATGAAGTGCTTTAAGGTGATTTTGTTGTGCATTAGTGCTATATGAATTTTTTTAATTGAAAAAAATTACATTTTGAAAAAAATAAAAATAATAAAAAATAACAGTTATTAGCCAGGTTATTATACTTATAAAATCCACTAACACAAATAATAAAATAAAGACTTGAGATGTCCACATGGCCAAGTCAACTGCTTTCTGAAAAGCTGCATTCATGTCGTAATTTCTACTGTGATTTCTAAAAAAAAGGTTCTCCTGTCAGATACCATATTGAAACTAAGAAAAGGTAAACCAAAGCTGAACATTTTTAAACCATAGAATAGAATTATGTTGAAAGAACAGCGTCCTGCCCTTGAAATGGACCTTTATTGTGAAAATCCAAACCGGATATTGAGAATGTGAAACTGTTAACTATCAGTTTCACGTTCTCGAGCGCTGCCCTTGACTGTCACCGACCCACGTGAGTGTGTTCATTTACAGGTTATCATGATGCTAAGCCGGTAGCTAGCTAAGCTAACCGACTACATTAAGAGAAACCCGATCTCACACCGTTCGGGCGTCTCATTTCTTTTGCAGAACAGACTGTCTGTTATTGACCTGACTTCCGGCTTGGTTCGGCTACGATGTCCTGCAGCGGTAAATCTCTGTGGTTTTTACTGCGGCGGTGTGTCGCAGTCAGACAGCTAACGGCACCGACAGCTTCACGCATGTGCGGCTTCACTCAGCAGCGAACTTTGACTTCGGCGGCCCGGACAGCCTGTCTCCAGAGACTGTGCGAGCTGCAGCCCGCAGTTAGAAGCAGCCAGAGCCGCTTCTGTACCAAGGTTAGTCTCAGAGCAGCCCCGCATGGTTTAGCATGTGTTCGGGTCACGGAGGCAACTAGAGACGGTTAAAGACCGAGAAGATACTTTAAAACTGCTCTGAAGATGCTTCTGGAAGAGTTTATTAACGCTACGGGCGTATGTTTTGGTTGGGGAGCATCACACACTTAAATTCGTGCTTATATGCGAAACTCCAGGACAGAAATATCCCTGTTCATGTAAAGGAAAGCACTTGTACCAAACCCACTTTGGCAGGGGCTAGTGTGAGGGTTCCTAAATTCTGGCGTAGGAGAGCAGTGGAGGAAATGACTCTCAGAAAAAAAGAATAAGTAATTTCTAATGTGAGCTATTTCTCTGTGGTCTGGCTATGGTCAGTTGACCTGAGCTGGTTCTGAGGTTTACCACCTGCCTTCTACAGTACATACAATTATTCTACCTGAGCTATCGTGGCTGCTTTCCGACTCCTAGTCACTATAAAGCTGCTATAATTGTGGGATTTGACAGGTGTTACTGAAGAGCAGCATCAACTTGAATTGACGACTACATGGTCCTTCTAGCAGCCTGTCTTTGTCATTGAAACACATCCAGGCACTTATTTGGGCAGCTATCCTGAAGCATTATCTAAATTAACTTTCATTTCCCTTTCACTAAAAGGGCTATAAAAACTGTATGTACAGAACCCCAAAAGACTGATTCTGGTCATCTTAACGTAGAGTTTTCAGTGGGAGAAACGTTTTGTCACTCATCCAAATGACGTCTACCACCACTGTTTCTTTCTCCACTGTTTCCTTCTCAAAAATGTTCCTTTAATTTTTTTTCACTGCAGCATCTCTTTCCTAACCTAGCAGTGACCAAAAAGACGCAAATACAGAAGTCACAAAGTCCTTTACAATATAAAATCACATACAGTTAAAATTGTATCAGTGGATAAAACAAGCCTGCACAGCACAATCTCCATTGGTCCTTAGCAGCTGTTAAAGGTTGGCGTAGTTCACTAATACAGCGACGCATCAGAGCATGAAAATCTTAAACTCCGAATCAGGAATAATGAGTTACAGTAATCAAGGTGTGATGAATTGAAAGCCTGTATGATCGTTTCCATTTCACACTGATATATTGATTTAATTGACTCTACATCTTCCAGACAGGAGGAACCTACGAGGATGACTACCCACCTCTGCCGGCCTATCATCCTGAATCAGAACCAGAGACCAGGGAGGTTTACATCGTGCAGGTGAAAGGTCTCCCGTGGTCCTGCACCACTCAGGACCTTCTGCAGTTCTTCTCAGGTGGGAGTCTGAGGAGTGGCACACCTTTACTCTTTAACTACACAGTATATGAATAAATTAAATGAAATTATTATTTTTTGCAATTACCATGTACCAGAGTGTAGGATACGTGATGGGGTGAAAGGCATCCACTTGACTTTGGACAGGCTGGGGAGGCCGTCAGGTCGAGCCTTCATCGAGATGGAGCACGAGGAGGACGTCAGCAAAGCACTGGAGAAGCACCGGCAGTACCTCGGCCCACGATACGTTGAAGGTTTGTTCCAAACAGGAAGTCCTTGATTAAGACTGATGGTTTGAAGGAAAACTCAGTTCAGTTTCAGGGTCCTGACAGCATACAATTTATTTATAATAAATAAGAACACGTTCTCCTGTCTCAGTGTATGAAGTGACAAACGGTGACGCTGAAGCCATCCTGAAGAAAGCCACCCAGCCTCTAGGAGCTGATGGCGTGGTGCTGCTCAGAGGGCTCCCCTTCACTTGCACTGAGGATGACATTGTCCACTTCTTTTCAGGTACACTGTGTTGCTACGGATGATCTGTAGCAACACGCACGATCTGATATGCTCGTGTTGGTGTTGTCCCCAGATCATCATGAAAATGTTGTTCCAGGTTCAACATTGCAAGTGACCAATCACATTATTGTGACGTTATTCTTTTGCGCGCCAAGCCATTCGTGCATTTATGAAATTCCAGTGTTGCAAGGACAATATCAATTCTGCTTACCGTTTATTAAAGGGTTAGGGTTAGGGTTAGGGTCCGTTGATCGGCAGACAAAGGCGGTTTCTCGCAGCTTAAGTACAGTTTTTTATTTTACGCCGGTTTTTCCCGAAGTCGCAAAAGTATGACATCACAACATTCTGATTGGTCACTTGCAATGTTGATCCTGGAACAACATTTAGTATGATGATCTGGGAACAACACCAACACGAGCATATCAGATCGTGCGTGTTGCTACAGTATGGGACTCTTTTCAGTGCAAACTCAGTAGATTTAGTTGCAAAAAAACCCAAATAAACGTTAACTATTGAATTTAAGTAGAGCTTGGTAATGATTTTGGTTTATTAGTCTGAAGACAAGAAAACTAAAGCAAAATTCTCAGTGTCTGTGGCTAAATAAATGTTTTCACTTACTGTCTTGGCAGTGTCCTGCTTAAGTTTATTTTTAAAAATAATTTCATGCATGATTTGGTAAACTTGGTAAATCACATTCGTAGGATTCATTTGTTTCACCTCCCAACATGAGCAGCTGAGGCTTTCAGTTAGAAAACTGGCACTGAGCCTTTTGAAAAGGGGAAAGTATGAAAGGGGAAAATAATTAGATCTACTTTATCTTAACAAGCTGTATTTCACAGGTTTGGAGATAATGGCGAACGGGATCACCATGGTCACAGACTCCAGGGGAAGAAAGTCTGGAGTGGCTTATGTGCAGTTCACGTCTCAGGAAGCAGCCGATGAAGCGCTGCAGAGAGACCGAGAGATCATAGGGAGCAGGTAGGAAGCTTCGCTGACTCTCGAACTCACCTGGATGTTTCTCTGGTGACCAAGAAGAAGTGCACTCTTTTATTTTTCGTCATGTTTGTTGCTTCGTGTGCTGTTTCTAATATGTGCAGATACATCGAGGTGTTTCCCAGCAGAAGAGATGAGATTCACTCGACCTGGAGGAGGAGAACGAGTCCATTTCCGTCTCAGTCCAGGCCTCAGTCAGTGGACGGGAGGAGTGGTGAGG